CTGTGTACTAAAAGTTTGTATCGAGAAAGAATAAACTGTTTTAATCAAGAAGGGACTTGTATCGCTGAAGTTCCTCGGAAATTAAGAAACAAGCAGATACGTAACAATATGTAGACGTCAAACATCTAGAACATTTGTTGTAGGATTACCTAACACCACTATATTTGCACACATAAATTAAGTAATGTACATGTTAAACTTTTCAGTACGGTTGTGGGAGGTTTATCTGACAACTCGAACTTTTCTCAATTAAGTAACATATATATATATTAAACATCCAGAACAGTTAGGGTAGGTTTATCCGACAACTCAACCTTTTCACAACTAATACACCCATGTATATGTTAAACATTCAGTACAATTGTGGTAGGTTTTAACTGACAACTCTACCTTTTCACAACTAATACACCCATGTATATATTAAACATTCAGTATAGTTGTGGTAGGTTTTCCTGACAACTCTACTTTTTCACAACTGATGTATATATATTTTAAACATCCATTACATTTATGGTAGGTCTACCTGATAACTCTAACTTTTCGCTCTTATAGATATATATATATATAATATGCATACAATATATTTGATTTTTCCAAACACGTTACGAAATGTCGCAATATTTAGCTTCATTGCGGAGACAATCGAGAAAAGTGCAATTTTAATATCACCTTGGTCACCTGTTCACCTAACGCATGGTTTGTACAGCAAAGGAAGAAACAGTATACTTGAATTCCACCCCTTTCATTGGCTTTACAATGAATCCTGTAGATTTTAAGCTTGGGTTTAGTGAACTTTTTGTCCTGAACTTCACAAGTTTAGATGTTCTATATGAACAGTATTTGTATTCTAGGGTTTATTTTTATTCTCCTCAAATCATAATCTCGGTATTCTTTCATATTAATCTTAATTACCAAATGTTTATTTTAGTTTAATGCTTAACTTTCTTCATTTACTCTTTATTTCTTATTGTAAAATGAGGATGTTGTAACTTTATGTATTAAATGTATAATAATTCATAACTATCTCTTAAACCCTTCAATTATTTCTTATCAACTAATTCCACGGTATTTGTGTGATTACCATATTACCTGTTGATTAACTAGATTGATTACTACTGAACAAATATATTACATAATGATTAAGCATGATTTTTATTAATTCAAGACAATTTTTCGGATTCTTGCAGACCTCTAAACTTTTTACGACATAAAAAACTGCGGAAAAACGACATTAAGCTCCAGATGAGAAAATTTAATGAATTATATCACATATCAAGCAATTGAAAAAAAGTGGCTCAAGCCAAAACTTATAAAACAATGTAAGGCTATCATATGCGATTTCCATTATCATTTCACGTGTGTATAAGGAAGCCATTCTTACCTCATACTCATTTGAAAAGGCACTGATGACCATCAGAAAAGGCATAGTGGGACTGAAAGGGGAATCACCATCTTTTTCCTCCTCACCCCACTCACCAGAATATGAGTTCCGTACAACACATACGGTGTCCTGGAAGCGAGGGTTGAAATGAAAATAAATGTCTGCACTCTCAGGGTCACTGCCCCTCTGGAGGTTTATAGCAAACCTACAAAAAATGTTTCGAGTTTACTGTTCTGGAATTGAAGAGTCCTTACTAGTTTTTTTCCAGACAATCACTATTAACCTACGTAGACTAGGAACATTCTCCACTCTATATTTGCCAGACTACTTCTGATAATCGTTAATACCTTACTCTAGGGGAACATTTCTACATAATCATTAGAAGTCTATCTAAAGGGATATTGCCACCATAATCCAGAAATGTTGTAAACCAACTCCACAAACAAATATAATACGACAGTGAATCATTAACAATCTAGTCTATTCTGGAAAATCATTCCCTCTTTGTTTCATAAACTTATTATTAACTCCAGAGATCATTACTAGTTTATTCCATAAAATAATTTCTAGTCTATCCAGAAAGTTATTACCAACTTTGCCCATATTAATCTACAGTTAGTTACCAGCTTAACCAGAAAATTGCTATTAATCTACAGTTAGTTACCAGCTTAACCAGAAAATTGCTATTAATCTACAGTTCATTACCAGCTTAACCAGAAAATTGCTATTAATCTATGACAGTGTGTCATTACCAGCTTAACCAGAAAATTGCTATTAATCTATGACAGTGTGTCATTACCGGCTTAACCAGAAAATTGCTATTAATCTATGATAGTGTGTCATTACCAGCTTAACCAGAAAATTGCTATTAATCTACAGTTAATTACCAGCTTAACCAGAAAATTGCTATTAATCTATGATACTGTGTCATTACCAGCTTAACCAGAAAATTGCTATTAATCTATGACAGTGTGTCATTACCAGCTTAACCAGAAAATTGCTATTAATCTATGACAGTGTGTCATTACCGGCTTAACCAGAAAATTGTTATTAATCTATGACAGTGTGTCATTGCCAGCTTAACTATAAAATCGTTATCAGTCTACTCCAGAGACTGATATTTCCGGGTTTGTGAATCATTTTTCAATATTCCCTGACTTATTTTACACCTTTTTCAAATATCTTACTTTTCTGGGTTTCTGAAGTTCATGACCATGCTGAAAATCTTGTCATTATTCATGAACAACTTCTGTCTATATATTGTAGTATGATTGGAAGTATAGTTGTTGTTTTGTAATCATTCTCGCATATAAAATTAATTTTGCATTGTGGTTTTCATTTATAAGTAAATATAAATAGAGTGTATATAATACGATTCCAAGATAAAGGTAAAATTGCTAAAAGAAAAAATTAGTCTTCCTCATTATCAAATCTGTGCAAATTTCATAAACACTTAAAACTGTTAACTCGTGCTTCATATAAAAGTGCGAAATGAGCTGGATAGTTTAATTTGTGACTGTAACTATATATGGATCTCATCAAATGAAAACATGGCTGTTTGGCACGCTTAAAATTAGATTTTCCACATGTGGTAATATGAGTTGTTAAGAAATACCTTTGCTAAAGACTGCTAGAAGGTTAATCTATTAACTCAGTTGCCACGACACCGGCCTGGTATGCGAGAGTTTACAAGTTCGACATCGAGCTCAATGAAATTTTTTTAAAAAAATGGAAAAGAGGACTGTCACACTCAGTATTATGATTTTTACTAACTAAATTGCCCTCCAGTGGCACAGCGATATGTCTGCGGACTTACAACGCTAGAATCCGGGTTTCGATACCCGTGGTGGGAAGAGCACAGATAGCCCATTGTGTAGCTTGGGGCTTAATTACAAACAAACATACAAACTAACTAAATTATTTAGCTGATAGACACGACCTCACGCAACATTAGAACCGTAAAATGTATGTTAACTATTATTATTTTTCTGAGCTATGTTGATTTAACTTCAGACTATACATAAAAAAAGGTATATCTTAATTCATCCAATAATAAAAGTTTGTAAAAACAGCTTACCTATCGGGGTTCTTAGGTACCGTTCCCTGTATGAAAATCTTCGTGCCAATGGATAAACCGCCGGGTATGGCGCAAACATGAGGAACACTCTAGAAAATAAAATAAAGTTAACTTTTCAGTCGAACGCCCAACATTTCTGAAAAATGTGAACTAATCATTTCAAATATGTAACGTTTTAATATCACGGACAGAAAAACCTTTCGTAGAATTACGTGATAGCCTTATCCAAAGGAACACAGAGAGTTGAAACTTGTTACAACTTTACTTACACAATAAAAAGGATAACAATGCTTAAGATAAACAACATTGTAACATAAGGGGACACAGACAAACGTAACAGAATTCAACAGATTTCAGCATCAATATCTAAACCCAAATAAAAGAATTATATCATTCCATATATCATTTGAATAATTGTATCGACGCATGCAACTGCTTTTTAGTTTCCAAAACTCAGTTACAAGTTAAAAATATAAATAGTTCTTCATTTATGTATATGTAGTTTTAAAACGTAATACTTAATAATTACTCATAACTGTGTAATCCATAAATAAAAATTTCACATCGGTATTTCAGTTCATTTATGGGACTTTCTCCACGGAACTACCCTTACGGTAAAAGACATAAGGCTTAAAATACAATGCCACACCACGGAACTACCCTTACAGTAAACCGTGTTTTAAGATTTATGTCTCGAAGGAACTACCCTTACAGTAAATGTGGCATCGCATTTTAAGGTTCCTGTCTCCATTGAACTATCCATCAAGTTAATTGTTACTGTGTTTTAAGGTTTATGTCTTCACGGAACTACCCATACAATAATCTGTGTTTTAAGGTTTATGTCTCCAGTAAACTACCTATACAGTCAATTTGATATTGTGTTTTAAGGTTTATGTACAAGTCTAGAAACTTCATCATCTCATAATGTTCTTAAGCTTTTACAAGTTTTATAATTCAAAAACCTGATAAATTATATATAGAGATTAGATAATGATATTCCTATTAACGATAATACTGTACATTTCAGCATATTCAATTAATAAGTGATAATATATTACAGGTAAAAATAATTCGCAGAAATAACTGATTTTAATATCAAGCTTTTTTCTATATTTTTATACCACAATGTAGAGCACAAAAGTTCATCTATCATGAGCAGTTTGTAATGTGAAGATTCAAGAAGTTGATTTCCTCTGATAACCACTTCGTAGATATCAAACATTTTTTAACCAATCTGATCCTCTCCAAGTGATCCCAGAATCCTCGTATTAAATGCTACTCCACGTTATTAAAACAAATAACCCAAAAATAAAATATCTAAAAATCGGTTTCAAAGCCCTACCTAATTTTGCACCACCAATCGAAATTTTAAAAACATCATTAAAAAAGTTAAACGCTATTGGTACACATCAATGTAATATTTATACACGTAAGCTGAGCGAGGTCGAAGATGGTGTTAATAAATACAATACTCTATTTCTGAATTAAAAACAGTTAAAACACAGTATGTTGATAGAATTGTAGCTATGCTAATGGATGACAACTGTGACGAATTCCAAGTTTTTTTACCTGATCGATTTAATAGGAAGATATTAAGACAATGAATAAACTAGAATATATTTTCACTGTTTTAAAGGAATGAAAGATTGTGAAAATAATAAAATAACTCATATCGTTGAATTTGGTGTTTTTTAATGATGTTTTTAAAATTTCGATTGGTGGTGCAAAATTAGGTAGGGCAACGAATCCGATTTTTAGATATTTTAATTTTTGGGTTATTTGTTTTAATAACGTGGAGTAGCATTTAATACGAGGATTCT